AGTCATATGGCAATATTTACTCACAGACAGAGGAGTTCATTTAAGAGCCTCTTCAGGTTTTTTTTTCTCCACTTTCTTCCCCCCCCCCTCTTTCCTTGCCCCAAGACAACTGGTCAGAATGAACAGGTAAATCAGGATAGGAAATCCATGGAAACTGTTTCTGTTTTTAAAGCTTAACCATCTGCCAATACCAATGCTCGGTATTAGTAATGGTAATTAGGTGAGTATATTTGCTGTATTTACACAGCACAGTAGATCTGTTTGCCCATTTTTCATCTTTTGTCCAGATATTTAGTATAACTTCCCCATATGTTTAGAAAGAACAATAAAAATCAATATTCAAACTGAATTGACACAAATTCAACTAGGGGAGCTGCTTTGTGTAAACCATTGTTTCTGATTGCTAATGCTATCTTAGTGCAGAGTACTGGTGTTCTCCAGATTGTAAGGATTAAAAGCTGTTTTGGAGTACTTAAAGTAAAATGCAGTGGTATTTTAGGATTCTGTGACAAGAGGCACTCATAAAAAATAATTCCCTGGGAATTCAATGACACTTTTGATCATAGTTTAATGGGTATTAAACTGTGTATTTGTTCAAAATTAACAAAGGCTTTGTGGTACAATCTGTAACAGCTTGAAAATACTAATTTCTGAAGTTCTTTGGGACAGAACTCTTCTATCAATATTTTTTTGTTCCATTGGGGCAGCTTCTTGCTTTCTGTGTAGGTCACTGTTCAAAAAGGTGTTGAGCCTTGTATCAGTTGAGACATCAGCATTTAGACAAAATGTGAGGTAGATTGTGTGGGTGAGAGTAGGTCAAGTTGCAGTTTCTCTGTTAAACCAGGTATGCAGCAACTGGAGTTTTTGTGAGAGAGACAATGACTGCAGCAATAATGGATGGTTCAAACAAGTGAAAGCTAGTGCCATGATAGTTTCTGTAACGAAATAATTAGTTCTGTTTAAAGATTGCTGCTAAGAAGATAACCTCCGTTCTTTACAAGCTTTCCATGGGAGCCATTCTGTCCGCTTTGGTAATCTTTTGAGCACCTAGCAAAACACCTCAAAAGTTATCAAGATCTAAAGATAATTTATAGGTCACTAATGTATTTCATAAAACTGAAAGCCCTGTGCAGTCCTCCCTATGCATGCGACGTAGTGCAGTTGCTTTCTGTAATCAGATTGTCTAGCTTGGAAATGAGCTAGTGATCCAAGTATGTACACTAGCTACTTTTACTCTGTCAGCCTGTGACTGCGAAAAGGCTGACAACAAAGTGGTTAAGTATCAATATAAGGGTATTTACTTTACTCTTCAAGAGAGTCAAGTCAGAAATAATGTACAGCAACAAAATAATTAGGCTTTAAAGACAACTTTTAAAGACACTAGAGGAGCCAGCTCCTTAGTAGATGCAGATAGCCACTGATGAATAGAAATCACTGCTGATTTACATCAAGTGAACATCTGGAGTAACTGCTAAACCTGAAACCATGGTAGAGAAGTTTAGACTATCGGCAGACAGAACAAAAAGAGCTGTCGAAAAAAAAAGTATTCTCATGGAAGTATTTTCCTCACATAGACTGACTGACAAGATTTCAGACTGCAACGAGTGTGTGCTTGTGTGTAAGTGTGTGTGTACATATGCATATATTTTTAAAATACATTGTTTTCTAGCTCAGACAATAGTTTTCTACCCTAGGGAGTATAGTGGTTGAAGTAAGCTACAACCTGAGGGAACAACAAGCATATTCTGTTCAAAAACAAAGCAGAACCAGACTTCTGGCTGATGCAAAGTGGTGGAAGACTATGGTAATTAAAAAATCATCAGTTTATGCTGTCAGATTTGACTGTCTATGGGTTTACTTTCATACCTGTCCATAAAACTGAGACATATTTTTAGCATGAGAGACGCAGTGTTATGGGCCAGTCTAGCAAGTGGTGACATGGAGGCTGAAGACACTCAAGAGTCACAAGATGGTTGTAAGAGCTTTGGAGCCTGGACTGGACTCTGCCCTTCCCAGGGAAGCAGAAGAAATTACTCCAATCTGTTGCCACCTGGGAGCCCTTTGATCTCCTAGTAGGAGTGCTCCAGCATGGGGTGTTTCCCCACCAGTACTTTGTGTCCTGAGTTGACTTCAGAATGATTTGGTTTCTCAACTAAGATTAATTTTGCATGAGACTCATTGCCTTGTTCTCAAGGAATTTGCAGACAAATTAGATTTGCCTTCAAAACCTTGTGTCCCTTTTCCATTTACAAAATGATTGAAAGCATAAATGTCCCTTCTTTTGTAGACATATCATGTTAAAAGGTCAACCTTAGACCCTGAATTTGCAGTGTCTTTTCCATCTTATGGTGCTTAGCATGTCAGACAATTAAATCAGAACGATACTCTTTGTATTATGGACAATATGCAGAGGGGTGCCCAAATTAAGCACTGCTTCTGTATGAATTGCAAGAAATTATGTCGCCAAACCATCTATTTTGATACCCTGCCTAATAAATGGCAGCATCCTACAAAACTGAGAAATAAAATATATTATTGAATCGTCAAGTCCTTTAGTTAAGGTAGAATTTTTTTTTTTACATTATTCTGCTGAATCAACTCTCCAATATTGAGGATATACATACTGGGGTTAGCACCAATTCACCTGGAATACTACCAGTTAATCCTGTCCTGAGTTATTCTGTTTTCTGATAGGGTATGCTTTTACTGGTTTGTTATCATTTACTCCTGGAAACAGCAGACATGTCTCCTTAGGTGGGGCCATTTTTGACCACGGTTGTACGCTTAGCCCAAATAACAGGTTTTTCAGATATTTCTCTACTTTTGGTCCCACAAGGAAGACAGAGGCTTCAAGTCATTGATAAAGTACCCACATCGAGGAAAGTGTCCAGGCATCGAGCTTCCTTGGCATGTAAGAACCTGTGTCTGTTCTAGCAAACCCTCCAAAACAAGGTGGCTGCATGCAACCTGCCTATCAAGTACGGTTTTGATGGTGTTTTAACAACTTTGCCGAGGAGTCGTTTGGATGTCTGTTAGTTGACATAAGACAAGTGAGGGCCAGGGACTGTTCTGGCAGGGGGCACCAGTGCAGGTGATCACGTTACAGTACCCTGGTTCATTCTTGTCCATCATTTCATTTACTAAGAGAGGTATAGCCAAATGTGTTTCTGTCTCAAAGAAAAACTGAATTTCAGTAAAGTTTCCTTAAGAAAGTGGATGTGAGGGGCATGAAAGACTTCCTTACACAAGGCAATACTTAAAGGATAGAGCCTACCTGCTCTGGCATTGAACAGTGGCATTAGTAATGGAACTAATGAATACAGGGAAGAATTTCAGATACTTAAGAGGTGCTGACATTTTGTATATCAGAAATCTGTGCAAGAAGGGCAGTAGGGAAAGGATACAACACTCCTAATCACAGGGTTGCTCAGATCAGTTATTCTGAGTTGAGCACTGATCTTGGGTTTTAAGCCAAATAAGATCCCTTGCATTTGTCTATTTCTCTTCCATATGGTAGCTTTCTAACTACCACTTTTGCTAGTAAAACATAAAGTTAAGTACTGAGTGAAACTCTAACCATCTTAGTGATTTTCAGTAGCATTGAACTAGTTATATATTTTATTGTGATAGTTGGTTTAAAGATGTGCTGACAGCACAATGTAAAATATATTGCACCTAATGTTATAAACTGAAACAGCCCTTTGCACTAACTAATGTTTCTATGGTGAAAAATGCAGAGAAAATAAGTATTAATAAAAGTGGTGTAATAGATACATTATTAACTAGATGGAGCCTCCATATCTTAAAGAAACCATAGAGTAAATAAATAGAAAGATGCTAATGCTAAGACGGCTATTGGGGCATGATGTTACTTAGAAATGGATTTGACTTAAAAATATGTGTTTTAACAAAGAAGGATTACCTGAATGTGGAAACACCATCCTCTAAAGTGTAGTGTGAGTAGAAGAGATCTGAGTGGTTGAGCTCTGTAATGCTTCCCATGTAATCATCTTCATATACTCCTTGTTCGTTTTAGCTGGATTGCTATCATCCCACCATACACAGGAGTTCACGTTTAAACACTGAGCTCGAGAATGACCTGACTGCATTACTAAATGCACCTCTCTCTGCCTTATGATCGATCTAGTCTCTGCATGCCATAATAATAATATCATGCAAAGAAAAGAGCTACAGATTATTATTTTCTTCTAGATCTGAACTAGAACCTTTTCTCCTACAATACTCCTGAGGCAAAGGGCTTCAAAAGGCTTTCTCATCCCGTGTAGGAGAAAGGAAATGTACTAACTACTCCAGAATTAAGTTAATGTTTTCTTCTGCTATGTCTCATATTGCTTTGTGCTGTTTAGTGTGCTCAGGACTACTAAAGGAGTTGATATGTGAAATGGAAAACTTTAGTGACACTGCGGTTTTTGGTATAAAAGTAGACCTAACTTAAAAAAAAAAAAGGAAGCAAGAAAATTTCAATTTCAGTTAAATACTTTGAGTTGCCCTGAAAGAAAGTTATTTCTTTCAATATTTACCTCCTACAATGGAAATATACTCCTACAAAGTATAAAACCAGTCAGCAAAGAATACTCTTTTGTAAACTGAAAGTGAGCTTTCTCTTTGTTGGGCACTCTCTTTCTCAGTCTTTTGTGCTTTCTCATGCAGACTTCCTTGCACTCGCTTTCTTGGCCGTCCTCTCTCGCACCCCATCTCTCTCTCGTGCACGCTCATTCTTTCTTGTGCCTGCTTTTACTTGAGCCCACTCTCTCATGTGCCCTCACTCTCATGCCTTCGCTCTTTCCCACAGTTTTGCCCTTTCTTGAGCCCACCCTTTCTTGAGCCCTTGCGCTCGCTCTTTGTATTGCTCAAGCTCTCTCATTCTCACACTCTTTTTTTGTGTGCTTTCTCTCTCATGCTCTCTTATCCTCACACGCTCTCTTTTTCTCGCATGCTGTTTCTCATGACCCTTCTCAGTCTCTCTCTTTCTCTTGCACTCACTTTCTATCACTCTTTCTCTCCCTTTCTCACATGCACTCTGCCTTGCTCATGCTTTAGCTCTTTCTCATATATTTTGTTGCACACACTTGCTCTTACATGCTCATGCCTTCTCATGCCCACGCCCTTTCTCATGCCCAATGTTTCTCGCACCTTTACACTTGCTTTTTCTCACATGTGTGCTCTCTATCTTTTTCTTACGTGCCCACTCTTTCTCTCTCACCCGCTACCTCTTTCTCATTCTCTCTCACATGAACTTGCTCTTTCTCCTATGCTTGCTTTTTCTTGCACATGGTCATAATCTTTCTAATGCCCACTCCCCTTCTCATGACCTTGCTCTCTTTCTCACTCCCCTTCTTGCCCCTTTCTCACGCCTGTATGCGCTTTCTCACGCCCCTTTCTTGTTACTTTGCACCCTTTCTTGTGACTTTGTTCTCACTCTTTATCACACCCTCACTTTATTGCACATGCTTTCTTTTTTTCCTGCCATGTCTTTCTTTCCTGCACACTCTTATTCACATGCTCTCTCTCCCTTTCTCTTTCTCTTTTCCTCTCTTCCCCTGCCCCCTCTCCCCTTCCTTCTCTCCCCCTTCTTTCCCTCCTTCTACTCCTCTTTCAAGCATCCTTTCTGTCATGTACATGCTCACTCTTTCTCACACGCTGGTGCACCTGCTCCATGTCTTGTGCCCTCACTGTCCTCACAACCTCATGCCCTCTCTTGTGACCCTGCACTAACTCTTTCTCACGTACCCATGCTTGGATTCTTGCATGAGCAAGAAAGCCCTTTCTCACAACACTGTGCCTTTTCTTGACGCCTCATGTTCTTTCTCACAACCTCGCACCCTAACAACCTCACATCCTTTCCTGCAACCTCACATTCAGTCTTTCTCACAACTTCATGCTTGCCTTCTCAGGTACACTTTATTTCTTGCACCATGCCTCTCTCTTTCCAACTCTCTCACGCGTGCTCTCACTCTCTCTGTTCCTTGCTCACTCCCTCCTTCCTTGCATGCTCATGCCCCCACTCTCTTTCTCCTCCTGTGCTCCATTTCTTCTATACATTCATGCTTTCTTGTGTGCTCCCCTTCTCAAGTGCTCTCTTTCCCATGCTCTCACTTTCTCATGTGCTGTCTTTTTTCTACACTTGCATTTTCTCACATATTTGCACACATTGCAGCCTTGCCCCCACTTTCTCTTGCGTCCACCCTTTCCCCCACCCTCATGCTCAGTCTATTGCTCTCTCTCCGTTTCTCTCTCCTGTCTTCTCTCTTTTCTCTCTTTCTCTCTCCTACTGACTCCTCTCTCTCCTTCTCCCTCTTTTTGTCATGTGAAATCTTTCTTGTGCATGCTTGCTTTTTCTCATGTGTGCTTGTTATCTCATGCCCTCATGCCCTTTCTCTTGACCCTGCACTACTTCTTGCAACATTGGGCCCTTTCTTGCAAACTCATGCTTGTTCTTTCTTACCCACTCACACTAGCTTTCTCGCATGCACTTTCTCTCTTGTGCCATCTCTCTATTTCCCGAACTCTCCCTGTTTCTTGCTCCCTTCCCCCCCTCCTTCTTTCATGCTCTCTCGCTCTCTCCCCTTCTCCCTCTCCCCCTCTTTTTTTTTATCTTTTTTTCTTTTTATACTTCCTTTTACCCTGCACTACTTCTTGCAACATTGGGCCCTTTCTTGCAAACTCATGCTTGTTCTTTCTTACCCACTCACACTAGCTTTCTCGCATGCACTTTCTCTCTTGTGCCATCTCTCTATTTCCCGAACTCTCCCTGTTTCTTGCTCCCTTCCCCCCCTCCTTCTTTCATGCTCTCTCGCTCTCTCCCCTTCTCCCTCTCCCCCTCTTTTTCTTTATCTTTCTTCTTTGTGCATCCCTTGCTTTTTCTTGCAAGTGATCATATTCTTTCTTGTGGCCACTCTCTTTCTCACATCCATGCTTTTCCTCGCTCCCTTGCACCCTATCTTGTGCCTTTATGCCCTTTCTTGCAACCTCACTCTCACTCTTTCTCATGCCCTTGCACTCACTCTTTCATGCACACATTCTCTCTCCCTTCCACACTCTCCCTGTTTCTTGCACACATGGTCCCTCTTTCTTGAGTTCTCTTTCTCTGTTTCGCTCCTTCTTTCTCCTCTCCCCTCACTCGTTTTCTCTTTCATTTTCTATGTCCTTGTCTCCTCCTCTCTACCCTCCTCTGTCTTTTTGTCTCTTTGCATGTCTCTCCTTCTGTTTCTTGCTTTATCCCTCTCTCTCACTCCTTATCTCTTTCTCTCTGACATGCGGACATGCACTTTCTCATGTGCACTTGCTCTTTATCATACATGATCATGCTTTTTCGTGCTCACTCACTCGCTTATGCCCTTACTCTTTCTTGTACCAATGCACCCCTTTTTGTGCTCTTGTACCCTTTCTCATGGCCATGCCCCCATTCCCATGTTACCCTCTTGCTCGTGACCTTGCACCCTTTCTCACAACCTCATTCTTGCTTTCTTATGCGCTTGTGCTCGCTTTCTTTCTAACACCACCTCTCTTTCCTAAACACCCTTATTAGTGCACTGTCTCCCCTGCAATCCCTACCTCACTCATTCACGGTCCCTCATGATCTGCCTCGCTCTTTCCCATCTTTCTCTCCCTTACGTCTTCTTTTCCTCCCTCTTTTCCCTCTCTCTCTCATTCTCACATAATCTTTTTCTTTCTTTCCCTCTCTCTCCTCATATTATCTTCTCCCTTTTTGTGTCCCCCTTTGTCTCTCCCTCTCTATCACTCTTTAATGTTCTTACTCTTTAACTCTCGTTCTTGTGTCCTTACTCTTTTTTGTGCCCTTCCTTATTCTCAGAACCTTGCTCTCTCTTGCATGCTTGCTCTCCCTTGTTTCTTGTGTGCTGGCTCTTTTTCTTGTGCCCTCACACCCATCCTTTCTCATGCCCACTCTTTCTCATGCAAGATTTATCTCCCTCTTTCTTGAGAGCTTTCTTTCTTGGGGGCCCTTTACCTCTCTCTCTGTGGCTCTCCGTCCATCTAGCTCTCTTTCTTTCACATACGCTTGCTCTTTCTCACAGTTGATAATGCTCTTTCTTGTGTTTGTTCCCTTTCTCTCAACCTATTCTCTTTCTTGTGCCCTTACTCCCTTTCTGTCAACCCCATTCTCATGACTTCACCCCCTTTCTTGTGACCTCACACCCTTTCTCTCAACGTCATCCTTGTTCTTTCTCATGCTCTCACACTCATTTTCTCATGCGTGCTTTCTCTCCTTCTGCCATACTCTCTCTTGGTTTCTGGTGCGGTCCCTCTCTCAATCTCTTTGAGCTTTATCTATGATTCTATTCTATTCATAAATCATATCTATTGGCGGCCGGTCATGAGCGGTGTTCCCCAGGGCTCAGT